TAATGTATGTTTGTGGCATAAGAAGATAAGTTGACATGGAATTTTCTTGCTTGTGCAAGTTAAAAATAAAAATTCCAAAAACTTAAGGGTGTATTCTCATGTACTCACTTCGAAAATTCAATTTTTTTTTATTTTGACATTAAAATCTATTGAAAACATGCTGTGAAAAATTCAGCCCGAAATTCATAGTATTTGATAAGTTACAGCTCATAGTCGCCGACGTGTCGTAAGCGACTGTCTACCAGGCGTCATGACAAGTCTGCAGCTGCTACATTTCTAAACACATTTTTCTGGAATCATCATTTTCTAAAACTGTCATGGTCCTTAAAAAAAAGTACTAAACCGATTGCTTTAAAATTTACATATGTTCTTCTACTCATTTATAGTTATCGTCCCTACCAGAATTGTTTATCTTCGAAAATATTTTCCAATTTTTTTTTTTTAACGATATTTAACGAAAAAAAATAAGAGTTTCGTGACTTTTTTTTAAATGAAATTGATTATATTCGGTAGGGGCGATAGCCGCAGAACTACTGAATAATAAGCCATTCGATGTTTTATTTCAGACAACATGAACAGCCGCTATCACCATGACCAGTGAACTACTTTTTTTTGTTGGGGACTACTTTGACTAAAAAAAAATATATATATTAAAAATGTAAAAAAAACGAAAAAAAATTTTTTTTGTTTTTTTTTCATTTTAAAATACAAATAAAAATATATTAAAAATTAAAATTATAGAATTTTGTTGTCGCATAAAAAAAATTCTTAAAAAGTGGTAAAATGTATGCGTTCACATGAGAGTACTCCCTTAAATATTTGAACGTTCTACATAAATTTTGAAGTTTGCTAGTTTCGAAATTATATACATATGTGTTTACTGACAACTATTTCTCATCTACTGACCCTGCTGATACTAAAATGGAACTTTTCTGTGTATACACGAGTTAGTCTCTGAGATTTAGAAAAATTGTCTGGAATTTTCCATAAGTCTTTTTCTGCGCATTTGTCAGAACCGTCAATTTTCAGACCAATATAGCGTATATAAATGCAAACCGACCCTTCAAAATCAATATTTTTTTATAGAAACTTGTTTATTGTGCTTATGTAAAGTATGCCACGGATATTTTGGTGACTAGTTGGATTTCAGTCAGCAGTTGTTATATATACCGCTTATTTTGAAAGGGCGAGTACTTAAATTGTAGTGTTGTTTACCGTGGAAATTTGCTCTAGTGGTTACTGTTAATATTGGCTGTTACTTTGCAAACAAATGCACATGATACTAACTAATTATAGTACTAAGGAAACATTTTCGCTACATTTAATGTATTATATATGAGATAAATGATGGTTCTTTCAGCTGAATTACGACTCGTCGTACATAATCTAATAATTCGAGTAAATTGACAGAAAAAACTATCATCGGTTTTTCTGAATGCCATACTGCACAAGAAACTAAACAATAAGTCTTGAAGTGTTCCATTGAAAGCAAATACGAAACATGCCGGTCATGGAAGCAGCATGAAAGCTGCACAAGTGCAATCGAACTTTTCCGCTGCTTTTCCATCATGTTTCGGCTTAACTGAGAATTTCTCAGATAACAATTGGAAACATTGCTCTTACAGCTTCTTTGCTCATTTGCTCACATGTGTACTTGCATAATAGGACCTCAATTCTTGCAGATTGCACAAGCATCACTGGTTGTTTTCTGTTTATTTAACGGCCGCATTAAAGCAGCATCAATTTATGCCGCGATTAAACAAACATTTTTGCATGAACACGAAAAATCACACCACCGCACATACATTTAGAACTGAATGAAATGGCTAAAAAAAAATTCTGAATTTTGGATAATGACATGCACACACTGCATATACATACATACATATAAACACAATAAAAAATTAGCCTGTGAAAACTTTAATTTCCTTGAAGTAAACGCGAAATTGGCTCACACTTTTGTCCAAAAATATACCCGCCACTTGCCTTCAGTAAATTTTTTTGTTTTGGGAAAAAGCGAGAAGCATAAATAATCGAGCAGATAACTTAAAAAAATTCACAAATAAATACGTGAATATGAAACACAGAAATTATTTATAAATAGACTTTGGCTTTTGTGTGCCTGTTGAAACACCGTTTCGCGGCGATTCGGCGTAAAATAAAATTATGCGACACATGTCATATGCATATACACATGTATATACATATGTATGTATGTTTGTGTATATGTCCGACTACTTACAAAAAGATATAGATATGTGTGATAAAATATGTATGTATGTTTGCAATCACATTTAAGTGGGCAATTACATGCAGGGACATATTTACATATGTATATATGAAAAAAATACGGATTGGTGCTTCTGAGAATAAAGGCCAGTTTACCGGGAATAAGCCTCAAATAATCGGAATATAAAATTTGAACTTTGGAGTCGATTTTACCGTTCAACTGTCTACTGTCTTATGAAGCTATAAATAAGAAAAACGTTAAATTCCTTTGCACTGAAACTAAAATACTGTTCATTGATGAAAAAGTTTTCACATAAGAACTTGATTTTGCTTAGTCAGTTTATATGAGAGTTATACTATGCTATAGAAATCTGATCTGCACAAGTTCTTAGGAGATTATATTGTTGGCATGGAAAATAGTCTATGCCGAATTTCAGGATAATACCAAATACTCAGTTTATATGGCAGCTACATATATGGTATTGTGGTTCAATGTTGATAGTCCCGTTAAATTAACAGCTTTTTAAGGAAAAAGGATATGCACAAGATTTCAGATCGATATCTCGAAAACTGACGGACATGGTTAAGGAAACTGAGCTGGCTACGCAAATAATTAATATAATTTTTTTATACATGCAAAACTTAACTGAAACATACTCTGTTCAGGGTATAATTATTAAAGCGTAATTTTAAATCCTGAATGATTTTTTCCGGTAGTTAATCGCACGCATTGATCATATAACCAATAAATAACTAATAAAATAATAACTAATAGTAATTTGCTCACAAACGTGTACTCGTGTAAGTGTGAGTAAAGCCAACAGTTTATGCAATCAGTGACAATCTTCACCAAGCCCTAATTCACCTAAACCAAACCGAACCTAGGCTGAATAATAGAGTAATCGTTCTAGACCTTGATAAAATGATTTCGGATTCTCTGTTTGACATTGTACTATGTATTAGCATTTTGGGACAGGTTAATATCACATATTTCGCACTTAATATAAATATAAGTATATCGGAAATGAAGCAAAATATAGCAATGTTAACGGGAAATTATTTGCTCTATAAAACATATATTATATGTCATTAAGGTATCAAATATGTATATACTTGTAACTCATTGACGATTTCGTCGAATAATGAACTATGGCCACGTAAACCTTATCACTATACTTTCTTAAGTTTTATTCGGAATTTTTTCAATTTGGGTTTTTTTTTTACGTTTTTAGTAAGCAAAAGTAAACTAAAT